GCTGCTTTCCCTTCTCCTTGGTCAAGTGACAGTTGCCTCTTTATTGGTAAGATAAGTAGGGAAGTAGCTGCTGTTCCTCCTACTGATCTATTTCATTTAAAAAGTCATTTCAACATATGATAAAATTCTAAATGAGTTGAACTCTATGCGATTTCATTCGCTGTTTCTTTCATGATGGGGATTTAGAGTACATTGAGTTTTTTCAATGACTAAAAGCTAATTTTTCCTTGTTAACTTATCTTTTGAATTCTCAGTTTTTCCAGTGCTGAATGAGTCCTCCCACACATCAGTTTAATTTTTTTGGTTGATTGTCAGTTACAATTCCTATTTATAGTCATTTTTCAGACTAGAAAATGTATGCTTTTAATCCCTGTGTATTTATAACCAGTGAATACATGACATTTCAGGAGAAAATATCCGGCACCTTGTGCTGACTTTGCTGATGATATTATAAAAGACTGAGTAAACATTTTTTAATTGTTACTTTTAGTTATTAACAAATAAATGTGTAAACATCTAATGAATAAAGGGAATTAACTTCTTACAACAGCAAGAACTTCTCTATTAGAGGACAATCTTTCCATTGTATTTCACCAAATCATTTAATTTTACCAGCTAGATTAACTGTTAGCTGATATATTTATATCAAAATATGCATTAAAGACCTTAGATCTAAACATATTTATTAGACTGCAAGCAGATGTGAAATAATGTTTAAGAATCATTTACCAAAAACTATTGACATAGTGATATAAATGGAAAGGAACTGTTCTAAACGCTAGAATACGTTATTAACACTGCCCTTTTCATTCAGAAAAGTGCTTTGGATCACATAAATTGGATACAGGCCTCTGGTATTTGCCATGTTACATAGAAGCTAGAAATGAATGACACTTAACTAACCTATAATAACTGCCTCAAATCCATGTAGATGTTGTGGGGTATCAAACTGATTATCCCTCCCATCCTTATAGTCACAACTAATGCTGCTTTACATTTCTAAAGTATCTCTTCCAACCCTAATGCATTCAGTAGTTTAATCACTTATATGCTATTATTTTATTTTACTTTACTGAAGGATGCCTGGGTGTCTTGAAATCATTTAGGTCTGTCCTTCTATGATATTTTTTCTACATTTTACATAGTATTAGAATTGTCAGATTGTTTTGCACTCTTGATTCTAGTGTATAAATGTAAGCTAGCCTTCTTTGTATTGAAGCATTGATGAATTTGTTATCTTCAAAGAATAAAAGGAATTTTATTTTTGTGGGTTACAGTACTAGACTGAAAAATAAACATCATATAGGAATTAATATATTTTCACAGTATGGGTACATAACATGCGATTGACAGGTCTTTCCAGGGTGGATTTTGTACAAATTGCATGCTCTGATTTATACTAAATTGTCTGTATCTATTGGTTCTGCATTTTGCATTTCAGTCTTTACAGCTCATTGCTTGATATATCTTCCTGGATGCAATGGACAACAATAGTCTGATTTTTCCTCCAACTGAATAAACACTAAACGTAATACATTTGTTTCATCCACAACCTAGCAAGGTTTCTCAGTGATCAAGTAACATGCGAATGTAATTCACTGTTCAGATTTGCAGCTCCTTTTGAAGTTGTGTGAGCAGTAAGGCGATGGGCTAAGGCACAGAGAGCAGAAGGAGTCAACTGAAATGAGTTCCTTAAACAAATGTAGGAGACCTGTAATTTTTTCAGTGTTCTTAAGTACACTTGCAAATCCATTGACACTAATAAAACAAAAGAAAGGAAACAAACAATTTACCAAATTTTCTATATACCTCATATTTGTTTTGAGATTTGAGGGGTATTCAAGTAGTATATAACTATTATTATTATTATTATTATTATTATTATTATTGTGTGTGTGTGTGTGTGTGTGTGTGTGGAACCGGAGATTGAACTCAGGCCCTTGCATTTGCCAGGCAAGTACTTATTCTACTGAGCCATGTCCCCTAAGCCCTATAATTTTATGGTGTTTGTCTAACCTAGCAACTATGACTACCTAAGCTGGGTCTGACTAAGTTACTAAATTGCCCAGGTTCTACTGGACTAGAACTTGTGATCCTCCTGCTTCAGCCTCCCAGAGTGCTGTCACTGCAGGAGTGAGGCAACAAACCTAGCTTCAAGGACATTTTTTTTTTTTTTTTTTTGCGGAACCGGGGATTGAACTCAGTCCCTTGCACTTGCCAGGAAAGCTCTCGTTCCACTGAGTCATCTCCCCTGCCCGAAGGACAAATGCTGAGACGCAGGAGCAACTGTATTTATGCCAGGCAATTCCCAAGCATAAAATAACATCCTGAGCAAGAATTTTGCTAGAGCTTTATGCATTCTTACTTAATCTTCATATTTACTATAAATGTGAAATATCACTTTCCATTCACAAAATACTTCTGTATTATCCACAATGTATACTCAAGAACACTGTAAAGATAACAAAACTTAAAAAGTTCAAAGACATATTTAGTAGTATGCAGTCATCTAGGAGTAAAAGTAATTCAATAATTTTCAAAACAACCATGTACTTCCAATAACAACACATGTGGATGAATGTCTATGATAAAATGTCATCTATGATATATAAGCATGTATGTGTACAATTACACATATGTGTGATTTCAAGGAATAATGAAAAAGAATATGTGGTAAATTATTACCTGCAAAAGGAAGGTTAGGCATAAGAAAATGTACATTCAAATATAACATTTTAATTTTTTTCAAGTAAGATATTATATCTGTAATCTAGTAGAAGAGTATTTATTTCCTTGTTGACTGAATCATGACACTGAATTGTCAGTGGTAAACAAACTTTGACCAGAAAATGGCAGATAGTATACCTTTGCTGCTATTTTTAAGTTAAGAATTACACACTCCTCATTCATTTGGAGAAAGCCTTTCTTGATAAATAACATAATACAGAAGAGAACTTGAAGAAAAATCACAATTTACTTTTGTATTATTTGAAATCATTTGTTTGAAAGGCTATGGTCTAAGTCATGCACAGTGCTCCCATTTGTACATAAATCACAAGGTTTATTATTTGTGGTTGTGGCTTTACTGTCCTCATGTACATAATTGCCAGTAGCTTAGTACCCAGGAGTAACCTAGCAACAAGTCCTTTCTCCTGCAAGTAAGAAATGAATGAAAAGCATTATGGAAAAATTGCTTAGCTGAAAAAAGTTGGAACATATATTATTAAGATATTCTAATTTTTGAGAAATTTCATGACAATGGCTATTAAATTTCATACCAAATAATACTATTCTCTGCTTCCTTCATTCGGAATAAAAAAGCAATGGATTTCAGACTGCATTGCTGGTAACTAGGTAACTGAATACATTATTTTCCCTGGCAGCCTGTTGAAGACAGAGTAGGTGGGAAAGGGCCCTGGTGTGCGATTGCTTTATGGTAGGTGAGTTTACTACATTTAGTTTCACCAGTAAACTTTCTTGACAATGAGATATGTCTCATCCTTCTAAATTACTTTAGAGTAAATATTCTGATTTATTTTCAAAGGGTTGTTCATATCATGATCCAGTTTTAGGCTCTTTAGCTTTGTGGAATTCCAGAAGATTCTACTTTGTGTTTTGTATTTTAACTTTGATATGAATATTGATTTCCATAGATGAATGGAAATTTTAATTTCTGTATTTTAACTTAATTTAATTGGGAAAATAATTCTGTTGTGTTATACCTATAGCTTCATAAAGGTAGATTTTCAGTTATCAGAGAAAAAGTACAACTTTCTAGGAACATCATTTAATGATTAATAGCCCCAGGCAATGACAGAAACATACATTTGTGAGTACCTCCCACTAATAGTACAGTAATTAGTTGGCCCCTATAAAATGTCCTTTAAAAATTCCAGGTATTTTTATTTCCAAAGGGATTATATTTTGCCTTATTTTTACTGTTTTCTCTTTTGGTATTGAGAATCGAACTCTGGGCCTTGTGCTTGCTAGGCAGGTGCTGCGCCGCTGAGCTACATGCCTGGCCCTCCAGGTATTTCTAAAGGACAGTAGATTGGTGTGTATACTGATGATATGATTGTGCCTTTGAATGGACGCATAGAAGTATAAACTAGATAGCATGTGCTCCGTGGTGGAGATACATTTTCCCCCAACTGCCCTGACTTTTATATTAGTTTTATATTAGATTAGTTTGTAACCATATACAACTCTGAACTCTTGCCACAATTATGACTGAGCTGACTTGCACATCTTATCACTGAAGAGGGAGTCTATCAGAGAAAGCACATTTTAAAAGGTAGTCAGATTTTTATGTATAGATGAAAAGTTCAGTTGCTTAAATTATTTGGACCAATGTGAAGCACTTCGATAAAAATGAACCTTACGCAAAAGCAACCATAACTAAAGACTATTCTTTATATGGGGAAAAAATAACCTCACCTACCCTTAGAGATAGTTACCTATAATCAGAGACTGACTGCATGAAGATTATACCCAAAATGTTACAGCAGACCAATATGGTTTATCTGTGAAGATGTTACTCATCACAACAGTAATCTCTGCTCAAACAGTTGCTCAGGAAGATAGATTTTTACATATGGCTTGTGAATTTTAACTGCCCCCTCCAGCAATGATATCTTGATGGGGTCATATTGGTGAAAAAGTATACCCTTCATTTGGTAGGTTTCATCCTGGAGGGCAGAGAAGATGTGATTCTCATTTTTACTTAATATATCATGCTTCTTACACCATAAAAAGCAAGAAATAATAATAATAATAATAATATTTTCAATTGACATGGATAGATGTGTTAGAGGTTCCCACAACTATTACAATTATATTAAAACCATCTAAACTACATGTCAAAAAGAGAGCAAACGTTTAATGAACACCCTTAGAGAGGAGGTAAGGCTTGCCATTCTACGGTAGACATAAATTAACTACCAGAACTTTATTGTTAAGCTGTAAAGTTGATCTAAAAGGAACTGTACTTGTTATTGCAGGTTTGGTTACAAAAGTACGGCTACCTTCCACCAACTGACCCCAGAATGTCGGTACTGCGCTCTGCAGAGACCTTGCAGTCCGCCCTAGCGGCCATGCAGCAGTTCTATGGCATTAACATGACAGGAAAAGTGGACAGAAACACCATTGAGTAAGTAATGGCATCCGTACTCCTTCCTTTTTTGGTCTTTGCGCCAAACTAAGTACTGTAATTAAAAAAAAAAAAATACATGAACGCTACCAGCCCTAATGGATTATTTTATCTGATTGACTTTCTTTAGAATTTATCCCGTTTTGAGATTTCATACAACAAATCAGGTTCAAAGTCATATTTACTCCCCCTGAATTTGGCAACACATAGTTCAAGCAGAAAGAAAATAAGAATGAGAGCCCCAGTAGGTGTATGGCTGCGGGCACTAAATGAAATAGTGACAGTGAGAGGCAGAGCTGGTTTGTGTGGCTGGTGAGATTATTTCAAATCCATTTCTTCAAATCTTTGTTCAGGACTGTCATGTAAATAACTTCAGATTGGCCGTAGTGAAATTATTTGCACAATAGAAATTGAAAAATAATGTAAACCAGGGTTGTTCCTTACTGAGCCAGTTATCTGTGAGAGGTTTTGTCAGGTTCATAAATTAAAAGAAGTTTGTCAAAAGGGACTTTGTTGTGTGCACAGCTGGCTGTAATCACACGCTGTTCAGCCACAGCAGCACAGAAAGTTCTACAATATTATGAAGCAGCATTTTTGTTTCTAGACAGCAAAGGAGAGCGTGATTAATTTTTTTTTTCAAGGGAGGAAAAATCATTTGTATTTTCAGAGCCCTTGATTATCACAACTTGAATCTACTTCTATTATTTATGTTTAGTATGGTGATGAGACATTAGCCTCCTCACTGGGGAAGACAAGGATGTATTTTTCTCTGTACTTTCTCAAATAAAGGAAGCACATGTCGGAAGCTGAGTGATGGTCACAGTAGCCACAGGACCAGGCTTCTTGATGTTTATTCTGGGGACATCACCATGCTGTGCACCTCAAAAAGGAATGGTTAGTTTTCCACTTACATTTTCAGTTCCTGACATATCTGGACCCAGACATAATTATGACATGCCAAACTGATTTATTATGTAATTATGGAATTATATTTTGCTCTCGAATGCTTGCAACATGATGTTATTCATAGTACCTCTAGCTCGTCAAGATAGGAAAGCATAATAAATGCTTTGAGATTAAGCTTCAAATCAGATTAAAAAAATAAATACATTACCTCCTCCAGTACTTTTAAAAGATGTATAAATATTAATTTTGATCTACACCTTGGAAACAAAATCAGGAAGATATTCAATTTAATTTTACGTGATAAAATACCCCTTGACCTAGATAAATATGACTAGAACTTACTCATGCATAATAAAACTCAGTGAGTTCTGTGTTTTCTTGTTGTGTAAGTGGATAATTCCATTAATTAATTATTTTTTGAAAACAGGATCTTGCTATTCTTGTTCAAGATGGCTTAGAATTCGTTATGTTGCCCAAGCAGGCCTGAAATTCACAGCAATCCTCAGCCTGCCAAGTAGGGGCATTATAAGTGTGCACCATTATGGCCAGCCAGACAGAATTCCATTTAAAGTGTGCTTTTCATCTGAGCAAGTTACCAATGCTATGAACAGTTTTTTTTTTTTTTTTTTTATTCCTTAAGGGAGAACTATTAACTTCTGACTCATTTTGTTAGAAAATCCAGGTTTTAAAAACATAAACTAATTATCTAGAAAACAAATTATTTTAAATGGCTTTACCTAAGTAACTTGACTAGCACCAGAATAAAAAGGAAGTATTTAGTACTTGCTTTGAGACACCAGAAAAGAGAGCAAAGTGTCAATGAGGGGCATCTATCTCTGCTAATTTTGAAAGGTCCTTTTGGTAATTGGAAGGACCCAAGACAGATAAGTTTGATATCCTAAAGTACCTAAAGAGAGACCTTTGTAAGGATTAAAGAAAAGAAGAAGAAGAAGAACAAGTTTAGGACTTATCTAGGCCCTTCCTGTAGAACAGGGTCTCAATAATTTTTTTGTTGTCTTGAGGATATAGAGCTGTAGAGAAAAAAATGGTGGTATGGAGCAGAACGTGGGTCTTTCAACCACAGCCAGTGACTTAGATTTCCGACCAGACAAAGTGATAGTGTGGGTGCAGAGGAGAAGTGTCATTTCGGCAATATACAATTATCACAACAAAATCAACTCAAGAAGCAGGTCTTATTTTAAAATCCAGGGGGGTGTTGCTTGGTTTTGCTTATTTTGATGAATTTTATTGTGTTTGTTTAAACAAAACATTGCTCTAATTGAGTATGGAGGTGGTTTTTCTTGTAGGTGTTTCCACCTCTACTGCAGTTTTTCTCCATAAAGTACCACACCTGGGGGTTGTTTCTAGGCGAAGCCATACAGCCTTGTCAAATCCCCGTGTTTCCCCTTGCTTATGGCCCACATCTTCAGATTCTAGGTGGGCTTGGACTTCTCCCTCACTGTTGCTCAGCCACAAACAATTTGGCTTGCTTTGTTTCTGTCTATATTTTCTGCAGATCTGTCTCTCTTCTGATCTTACTGTTAAGGTTATTCAAATCAAACCATATTTCATTTTTGTGCTATAATCCCCATAATGACGCTATTTAAGCCATTATCTATTCTTTTGTAATATCAAGTGAATGTATATTAACAATACATGCTGATATTATACTCTATCATTATATGTAATAAAATCATAGTTTGAATTTTTATCTGAGCCTCATTAAATAAAATATGGACTAGAGTTATAGCCCTAAAATTATTTTTCATTTTAAAATAGACATCTTATTATCCATTTTCAAATGTTATAAACTTACCTGACTTTATATTCTTCAAAATATTGTTTTTAAATTAAGTGATTATATGCTTTAGCAGCAAGACATGAGGTGCATTTAATTTGCAGTACCTGGATAATTAAAAGTGATGATTACAATTTTGGTGATCCTTATATTATGTTGAAGAAATTAACCATTTGAAAGTAAAAATTTGTGTATTACTTTAAATGGTGGATTACATTGCTCTTATATTAATCAGAACTGGTGATGGAGAGAAAATACTCTTTACCAAAAAGAATTCATTATTTTAAGTTGCAATGGTTCTTTCAAATTATGAGTTTGTAGCTAATTTTCGTAACCACAGCCACTTAAACAATACACATAATAGTCCACAGTATTCATGGAATGATGTTACCTGAAAGAGAAGAAAAATGGAATATCTAAAAGCAAATTAGTCTATGTTTTTATAGTGTTAAATTTTTTAAACATTCTGATTTATGTTTCCTGTGTATATAGCTGTCAGGATTGCAGCATGATTGATTAGATTTTTTTTTTTTAGAAATTTAACAATGGTTAATATATTGCATATTGTTGACTTCAAATCAGTTATTCATATTACCAGATACAAGCCTGCAAAATTGGTCAAAATATTTTAAAAAGAGAGATAAAAATTATATAAGCATTAACTTCTCCTTTCGATAGACAAGCAGAAATCAGCAGTATAATTACCAAGCTATCCTGTATGTGTGTTGTGTGTGTGTGTGTTTGTGTGTATGTGTGTGCATACTTTTTTTCTCCCTTCCTTGTTTTCTTTTCTCCATCCCAATTGTTTCCCTTTGAACAGTTTCATTGCTTCTCACAGTATCTACTGTATCTTTAAGATTTTATTTACTCTTTCAGGTTCTTGCACTACGGAGATAGTTACTTCTCAAAATGATCACTTTTTAAAATTCTCCTACACATACATGTAATATATACACATATATGCATATGTTTGTATGCACACATATACATGCATATTTTCTAATGTAATATTTTGGATAACCTAAGTAATTTTGGATAACTTATTCCCACAATGCCTAGAAATTTTATTTCATTAAAGTTAACACTGAATTAGTAACTTTAAGAAAAGAATTAATATGAAACTGCAGCCGTATTTCAACTTTTAATTTGAAAATTGTCTTATTTGTATGAACCAAGAACTACATAAGTTTAGATTATCAGTGTGTTATATGTTTTATTCTGTTTAAATTAATTATCATTTTACTACTGGATCATCTTTTCCAATTCAGATTTAAAATGTGCAGCATTGTCCAATAAAGTTTTAAGGGCTCTTCTGAGTATGATGATGATACCTAAATGCTAGAACATGTGCGATGTGCTCCTCCTCATTTGGTCAGGTAATAACAGGTTATAAAGGATTGATAAAAGAGAGACACTAGATCTTAAAAGGTGAAAGGATTAAAAGCAAATACTAGAACTTCTGTTCTCATTGAAGATCATGACTTAATTCATCTCTGCTCTTGAACGCTCGTGTCCTTTTGGCCTTGTGAATCACATGTGGCTATGCAAGCAGTTACTGGCTTCACAGAAAAAAAGCAGCTTTGAACTGAGTTAGCTTTCAGCCACCAATCTATTGAGCGCCAAGTAAATTTGCATTTAAAAACCTCATGATTCACCAATCTAATGTACAAAAGCCTTAAAACAATTGAAAGTACTGTAGTGAAAACAAACATGTATCAACACTTCCACAAAGCTTTGGGGAATAACTATAAGTGATACATATTTCTTTTAACCTTAAGTGAAATTTGTAAAGTGTGAAGGATGAATTTGTCTTAGCTTATTGTGACTATTGTCCTGGGTCTAATAGTTGATACAGCATAAAAATGTTTTGAGAATCACTTTTTTCCTTTGGTAATGGCAATTAGATGTATACCTCCATATGGCACAACGTCAACTGCAAGGGTGACATTGCCACTACATCCAACTGCAGTGCCACTTCCTGCCTTCTGACTGTGGGGCCACAAGGGACATGGGTTGTAATGTTAAGGGTTCTCTTGGAGTCACCCTATGAGTGGCCCAATCTGCCATGAACTATGTGCTCAAGAGTATCACTGGAGCTATTAAACTCTGTTCCATATGCAGTATGTGTATGCACACCCCTCTCTATGTACCACAAACTTGTTGACAGTACACAGGTACTTTATTTAATGGAATAGAAAAGTAGAGCTATCAGTATCTACTATCAAAGTGCAGAAAGAACCTGTGTGAAATAACACATTCTTGCATGTTGATGGCATTCAGAGTGAGGTGAAACAAGTTGATTCCTGATAAAACTAACAATCTGACCACATGCCAGGCAGGCCTTGCCTCAGGTGCAGTGAGCCGGCCACTGAGGCCAGGTGTGGTGGTGCACGCCTGTAATTGCAGTGCTGGGGAGTCTGAATACAGGAGGATGCCTATGAGTCCAAGCTGCATAGTGAGACTCTGTAGCAAATATATAATTTTTTTAAAAATCTAATAATCATCATTACAAGTTGATAATAACAGTGATTACCTGTTAGACTCTCTTTTACATGATTTAAATAATTTAATCCTTACAACAATTCAGGAAAGGAAATTAATAAAATTTCTCCTTTATAGATGAGGAAACTAAGGCACACAGGAACTGTGACATGATTAATGTTGTTAAATCTGTTACAGGAAGAGATTCATGTTAAACATCATACACTTTAG